ACGAGGCTACCAATCGTAATTTTAAAAGCAGTTCTGTAAAAAAAGTAATTTTACATATATAGCCTATATACAGTATATATATATATATTTTTTATTAGGCCTATTATTATTATTATTTTGATTCCCTACAACCTAGAGTTTTTAAAAACATGGTTTTAAGTAAAGTGTGATTTGCCAGGAGGGACGGGGATTTCCTTCTGGTCTAAACATCCCTGCTTCTGCTGAATTATTTGAATCCCCACACTCCTCCCTCCACAGCTAATCAATGCTATAGGCTACTTCACCAATAGACCATATCAAATATAAAATAGAGATATGCAACAAGCACGTTTAAACAACGACAAACAATAAAATCAAAACCAGCGTTTCAGTTGTTCATTAGTTCAAGTGGCCTTAATGCATGCACGGCTTTTCAAAATTTCACAAAGCGTTTTGAGATTATTTTGAATGAAATATTGAAGTTTATAATTAAGTGTTTTGGCAGACCACGCCGAGTGGCCCTATGCATTTTTCTAAAGTCGGGTTTTATTCGAACTTTTGCTAACGACAAAAACAGTTTATCTGTCGTCTCTGTCTCCGGGAACTGCGCGTCACAAAAATGAACCGAAAGCCACTTCAGCTCAGTCACTATAAGAAATCGGCTCTGTCTAAAGCCTTTAAATGTCTAAATATTCTGGCTAATAAATGTTATCTGATTATGTAATCCATATGAAAACGAGAGGTACAGAGGATGTACTCAAACATGTAGCCTGTAAGCGCTTCCCAATGAGAAAATGACAAGGGTGAAAATCTCGCTCTAATTAAATGTAGCAGGCTAAATCGCCCTGAATTAAAATGTAAAAACAGATCAAATAATGTATTTGTTGAAATGTTGCGATATTGTTTCATTTAAGTTCATAATTATTCAATACATGTTATTTAATTTAGCAGCATTACCACGAAGCACCGTGGTTTGATATTTATTTGAATAAAAAATAAAATAAAAAAAAACTTAATTCACAAATTGCATGCCTGGTTGAAAGGATCCAAAGATCCATGTAGACTTTAATATTGAGTTGAACATTTTGTTCATGAAAACAAATTAACATGCGTTTTTTCAGATTATATTTAGTTTTGCTTGGAAAAAGCTGGCCCAAACCAGTTTTATTTCATCAATTACTGAAATAATGAAATATTTAGTAATAAACTTTTATGACAGAAATATCACTAGGCTACATGTAACTTAAATCATTTAATTCCTTCATTATCAACACTGTCTAGAATAGCGATTTAAGTGTGAATTGCGACTTCTCTTTGTGTTAAATCAGCCTCAGACTCCGATAGCCGGTGGGGGGTTGGAGGGACAGTTCAGTGCTGTATCAAGCGCGCAGGACAATAGGCATAGGTGTTAATGTTCCTCTTTCATATGGAGAGCGAGGGAGACTAAATAAACTTGTTAAAAAGAGATTCAGCGCGAGAGAGGCAAAGAAAAACGCATGTTTTAATTTAATTATGTTGCTTTGGACAATTTTCGTTTTGTAGGCCTACTGTTTTAATTGTTTAATATAGCTGTCATTTCTTTGGCAATACAAATTTAAAATGTCGCAAGAATAAGATTAGCCTAGTGTTTCTTATTTTGCATCGCAAAAGAAATAAACTCTAAACCCGATGCAACCCTGTTTTAAATTAAAAAAACTGTCCCGACACTTTATTTAAACCTTGAAATGTTCGAACTTGGTTTCAAACTTAAGTAATTTTAGTGTTCTTTTACATTACACAATAATTTAGCAGACTAAAGACGTGCTTCTTCATTTTCAGATGCAATCGGCTGACAATCTTCCTTCATCAGTTTATGTCCTTTGTGCAGCGCTGCGGTTTCAGGAATGTAGCAAATTTATGTTGTAATAATAATTAAACAAAACTCTTGACTTTAAATAAGTAAACAGTTATAAACAGTTAGCTATTTAAGCATCAAGAAGGTTAAATATAAACGCTGTTGGCCAACATCGGTTAACAACATGTATGCTACATTGAGATTCGATCTCGAGTCGATTGAAGCTCCTCGAAGCTCGTGTTGTTGCGTTAACCACTGAGCTATCGTCTGTACGTCTGTAAATGTTTTTATTGCAATGTTTTACTTTTTCATTATTTATTCAATTTCATTTCAGTAGCCTAATTTCAGTATTGTGATTATGAATTATTTTAACTACGTTTCACTTGTTGAATTCATCTGCTACCAGCTTTCAATCGCTCTGAATCAGTGCGGTGCGGCAGCAGATTACGCATTAGAGAGAATAAACAAACACTTTTCAGAGTCTATGATTGTAGCGCCTCTTGGCGGTAAAAGGCAGAAAATACACCCCACATTTTACCGCCGCGGTGGAACGGCTGATGTGGGCATTGTCATGGCTTGCCTCAACATTTGCGTTTGAATAGCGCGCGTCCTCCATGGGCGTGTCAGATTAACGCGTAATGAAGTGTAATGAGCTGGGGAAAAAAAATCTGACAGCACTCTCTTTTCATACAGATTACATAAACTGAGAATATTTGTTTTTTATATAAATTACATCATTGAAAAGAAGAGAATTCAAGCTTCATAAAGAAAAATCTCTCGTGCCTGTATGACAAGTATTTGCAGAGTTAGAGTTAATTTTTCGGACGTGTTTCAGAATGGACTGCACTGACAGAGAGAAGGCAAAACTCGCATCATGTTTATTTTTCTTTATTTGACAAAAAGCACAAAACTTTGTTTTTATTGTGAGTATACAGAAAAATAATAGACAATTAACAGGATCGATTGATGTATAACACTTATATGTACGATCAAAATCAACAGAGTATTTTAAGTCTATTTTTCTGCTATGTGAAAAAAAAACGGCAAAACGCGCGGGCGCGTTTCTGGTCCCCAGAGGGTTAACGTGGTGGAGGGGTTTGAGTACCCGAATGACCCTAGGAGCTATGTTGTCTGGGGCTATATGCCCCTGGTAGGGTCTCCCAAGGCAAACAGGTCCTAGGCGACGGGTCTGACTAAGAGCGGTTCAAAATCCCCTTATGATGGACAAACATCCAAGGACCGTGACGTCGCCCGGTATGGCGCAGCCGGGGCCCCACCCTGGAGCCAGGCCCGGGGTTGGGGCTCGTATGCGAGCGCCTGGTGGCCGGGCCTCTTCCCACGGGGTCCGGCCGGGCTCAGCCCGAAGGAGTGACGTGGGAGCGCCTTCCCGTGGGCTCACCACCTGCAGGAAGAGCCGTAAGGGGCCGGTGCAGAGAGGATTGGGTGACAGTCGACGGCGGGGACCTCGACGACCCGATCCCTGGACACGGAAACTAGCCTTAGGGACGTGGAACATCACCTCGCTGGCGGGGAAGGAGCCTGAGATGGTGCGTGAGGTTGAGAGGTTCCGACTAGAGATAGTCGGGATCACCTCTACGCATGGCTTGGGCTCTGGAACCACACTCCTTGAGAGAGGATGGACTCTTCACCACTCTGGAGTTGCCCATGGTGAGAGGCGACGGGCTGGTGTGGGTTTGCTTATAGCCCCCCAGCTCAGCCGCCATGTGTTGGAGTTTATCCCGGTGAACGAGAGGGTCGTTTCCCTGCGCCTACGGGTCGGGGATAGGTCTCTCACTGTCGTGTGTGCCTACGGGCCAAACGGCAGTGCAGAGTACCCGGCCTTCTTGGGGTCTCTGGGAGGAGTGCTGGAAAGTGCTCCGACTGGGGACTCCGTCGTTCTACTGGGGGACTTCAACGCTCACGTGGGCAGCGACAGTGACACCTGGAGGGGCGTGATTGGGAGGAACGGCCCCCCCCCCCCCCGACCTGAACCCGAGCGGTGTTCAGTTATTGGACTTCTGTGCTAGTTACAGTTTCTCCATAACGAACACCATGTTCAAGCATAAGGGTGTCCACCAGTGCACGTGGCACCAGGACACCCTAGGTCGCAGGTCGATGATCGACTTTGTGGTCGTTTCATCTGACCTGCGGCCGTATGTCTTGGACACTCGGGTGAAGAGAGGGGCGGAGATGTCAACTGATCACCACCTGGTGGTGAGTTGGATCCGATGCCGGGGGAGGAGGCTGGACAGACTCGGCAGACCCAAGCATACTGTAAGGGTTTGCTGGGAACGTTTGGCCGAGTCTCCTGTCAGAGAGATCTTCAACTCCCACCTCCGGCGGAGCCACGACCGGATCCCGAGGGAGGCTGGAGATATTGAGTCTGAGTGGACCATGTTTTCCACCTCCATTGTCGAAGCGGCTGCTCGGAGCTGTGGCCGTAAGGTCTCCGGTGCCTGTCGAGGCGGCAATCCCCGAACCCGGTGGTGGACACCGGAAGTAAAGGATGCCGTCAAGCTGAAGAAGGAGTCCTATCGGGCCTGGTTGGCTTGTGGGACTCCTGAGACAGCTGACAGGTACCGGCAGGCCAAGCGGACTGCAGCCCGGGTGGTTGTGGAGGCAAAAACTCGGGCCTGGGAGGAGTTCGGTGAGGCCATGGAGAAGGACTATCGGCTGGCCTCGAAGAGATTCTGGCAAACTCTCCGCCGCCTCAGGAGAGGGAAACAATGCCCTACCAACGCTGTTTACAGTGGAGGTGGGCGGCTGTTGACCTCAACTGGGGATGTCGTCGGACGGTGGAAGGAATACTTCGAGGATCTCCTCAATCCCGTCGTCACGTCTTCTATTGAGGAAGCAGAGGCTGAGGGCTCAGAGGTGGACTCGTCCATCACCCTAGCTGAGGTCACCGAGGTAGTCAAGAAACTCCTCGGTGGCAAGGCACCCGGGGTGGATGAGATCCGCCCTGAGTACCTCAAGTCTCTGGATGTTGTGGGGCTGTCTTGGCTGACACGCCTCTGCAGCATCGCGTGGCGGTCGGGGACAGTGCCTCTGGGATGGCAGACCGGGATGGTGGTCCCTCTTTTTAAGAAGGGGGACCGGAGGGTGTGTTCCAACTAAAGGGGGATCACACTTCTCAGCCTCCCTGGGAAAGTCTATGCCAGGGTATTGGAGAAGAGAATACGGCTGATAGTGGAACCTCGGATTCAGGAGGAACAGTGCGGTTTTCGTCCGGGCCGTGGAACACTGGACCAGCTCTATACTCTCTACAGGGTGCTGGAGGGTTCATGGGAGTTTGCCCAACCAGTCCACATGTGCTTTGTGGATTTGGAGAAGGCATTCGACTGTGTCCCTCGCGGCGGCCTGTGGAGGGTGCTCCGGGAGTATGGGGTCCGGGGTCCTTTGCTAAGGGCTGTCCGGTCCCTGTATGACCGAAGCAGGAGCTTGGTTCGCATTGACGGTAGTAAGTCAGACTTCTTCCCGGTGCATGTTGGACTCCGGCAGGGCTGCCCTTTGTCGCCGGTTCTGTTCATAGTTTTTATGGACAGAATTTCTAGGCGCAGCCAGGGGCCGGAGGGTGTCAGGTTTGGGGACAACGCGATTGCGTCGCTGCTTTTTGCGGATGATGTTGTCGTGTTGGCCCCTTCACACCAGGACCTTCAGCATGCACTGGGACGGTTTGCAGCCGAGTGTGAAGCGGCTGGGATGAAAATCAGCACCTCCAAATCCGAGGCCATGGTCCTCAGTCGGAAAAGGGTGGCTTGCTCACTTCAGGTTGGTGGAGAGATCCTTCCTCAAGTGGAGGAGTTTAAGTATCTTGGGGTTTTGTTCACGAGTGAGGGAAGGATGGAACGGGAGATTGACAGACGGATCGGTGCAGCTTCTGCAGTAATTCGGTCGATGTGGTGAAGAAGGAGCTGAGCCATAAGGCAAAGCTCTCGATTTACCGGTCAATCTACGTTCCTACTCTCACCTATGGTCATGAGCTTTGGGTCATGACCGAAAGGACAAGATCCCGGATACAGGCGGCCGAAATGAGCTTTCTCCGCAGGGTGGCTGGGCGATCCCTTAGAGATAGGGTGAGAAGCTCGGTCACTCGGGAGGAGCTCAGAGTAGAGCCGCTGCTCCTCCACATCGAGAAGGGTCAGCTGAGGTGGCTCGGGCATCTGTTCCGGATGCCTCCTGGACGCCTTCCCGGGGAGGTGTTCCGGGCACGTCCCACTGGGAGGAGACCCCGGGGAAGACCTAGGACACGCTGGAGAGACTATGTCTCCCGGCTGGCCTGGGAACGCCTCGGTGTCCCCCCGGAAGAGCTGGAGGAAGTGTCCAGGGAGAGGGAAGTCTGGGCATCTCTGCTCAGACTACTGCCCCCGCGACCCGGCCCCGGATAAGCGGAAGAAGATGGATGGATGGATATATACACAGTGCTTTAATTTCAGGAAGGTCTACTAAAATTACTTTTCAGGTAAGTGTTTCTTTAGTAATCAAATGTAAAATAACAGTGCACAGTTTATCATAGATAGATTAATACTTATTAAAGTTTAAGTTATTCATTCAAGAGCTGTATTTTCTCTGCCTTTTGTTGTTTGATTCGCATTAATGGCTCAATCGTCACAGGTTTATTAGACTACTGCCCCTTTAAGACCGAGTGCAGATCTGACTAACTGACCAACTATGTACGTCCATTTAAGACATAAACTGTGTTCAGTGAATCTCAGAGCTGGTAATTTTTATATTTTTATGTATATTTGATAGTTTAGATGCACACATGAAGCCCAAAGTTACTTTTCTTGTCTGGTTGCAGTCCATTTCGGAGCACGTTGCTTTGTGAACAGCGTCTCTTGCGCATATTTTTGTGCTTTTAATAGCTATTTTAATGATTAAACGCGTCCGCAATTTAGCAACAGTAGAGACTGCATTTTACAACAATCACAGATTGTGCTGATTCTGATGGTACGTTTGGGTCTTAGGTAGAAATGACAGCGCATTGCTGTGAAGGGAAGGAAGTTGCTCTCTAGACAGAATGCGTCTAGTTTGTAATAGTTTCATCTCAAATATCTTCTTTTTATAATCTTTGAAAGGCAAAATCTAAAATAAAATTAGAATAATATCCCAGATCTAAAGTGTAACCACGTTTGAATGTTTAGTTCTGTCCTCATTGTCACTCATTAACCAGGGCTGACGTGTTGTGCGCGCTGTGGCTCCGCGTGAGAGATCGCTGTCTCTCTCCTCTGGACTGCGAATAGCAAAATTGCATCACAGACAAATGGTTTAATATTATTATAGAACTGGCTGGCGAGATAAATATGTTCAAGATTACGTCTTTATAGCAATAATAAGTAGTACGTGTATTTTCTTAATTTCTTCAGTACCGACAGCAGAACCGATAACGTCCGAGCTTATCGATACTGCGGTCTTTCAAAATTCAGCCCCGGGGCCCGTTTAATACCGGGTTTCAGTACCCATCCCTAGGTCTTGCCAGCCCACTTTGCGTTGTTCCACACTCTGCCATCTCATCCACTCTCCCTGCTTGGCCTGGGAAATAGCCTTTATACACCTCATCCTCTCCTCCTGCTTTCGCACCTCGTTGACTACCAGCTTCCTCCTTTGAGCTGGACCTGCCTTGCGCCATTTAGGAGGAGCTAAACTGAGCCCAAAACCCCCTCTTCCATGCTGTACAGTGGCCACAGCAACCTTGGCAGTAGACCAAACTGAAAGCACCAGAGTTTTAGTTTGCCTTGTAGAGCACAGCTGTTTATGCTCTTCAACCCTTCCACTGCTTGTCGTCTAACTTCTCCCACTCGAACTGTGTCCTTTAGATCCCTATCGTACCATCTCCCAAGACTCTTCACTGGCTTCTCAGAAACTGTTGATATTGCCTCACCATTAATGAAGAATGTTTTATCTACTACCTTTCCTTTAACTATCGAGATGCTCTTTGATTTAGAGGGCTTAAATTGCATTCGTGCCCATTCAATATTATCTGTTAACTTCCCCAATAACCGATTAGTGCAGGCTACTGTTGTAGTCATGGTTGTCATGTCATCCATGTATGCTATGATTGGTGGTAGTTGCATCCCAGAAGCCAAGCGCTCTCCTCCTACTACCCATCTTGATGCCCTAATGATTACTTCCATTGCCATGGTAAAAGCCAGTGGAGAAATGGTGCATCCTGCCATTATTCCAACCTCTAAGCATTGCCATGCGGTGCTGAATTTTGGCAGAGGTGGGAGTAAGTCACACATGTGCAAGTCACAAGCAAGTCTCAAGTCTTAACCTTCGAGTCTCAAGCAAGTCCAAGTCAATTTTTTATAGAAGCAAGCAAGTCAAGTCAAGTCACTGCCTTATGTCAAGCAAGTCAAGTCAAAGCTTGCAAAGCAAGTCGTAGCTTGGGTCACAAGTCACTGGCAAGTCATACAAACGTTTGATGATTTCACTGAATTTATATATTAAAATAAGTTAAAACTACATAAGTTGTGGACTATGGTTTTATTTGCAACATATTTTTTTTAAATATGCATTTCCACATACAGCTGAGTGGTTACTACAATAAAAATCTAAAAAATAAATACAATTTCAAACTACACAGCCTAAAATGTAAATCTAACTGAAATTAGGCCAACATTAAAGCATTAAAAAATAAATATGCCTCAAACATTGCAGAAGACCATTAAAAGGTATTAAACAATTCACAATTCAAGTATAATGGTTCCTATGCCACCAAATGGCATTCTTCAAACTGGCATCCCCTTTATATAAGTTATATAACAGCCGTTGGCATTTAGCCTATTATGAAGTTAAAACCGCCAATAGGTGGCGCCAAATCACCGTCTTAATGTACGAGTCATAGAAGCAGTCAACTGATTTGTTCAAAATGACAGATTCGTTCTGGAACTAAGCAACTAGGTCACTGAATCACAAATACGCATAACTCTTTCTGTGGCTTGTTTGGAACTATTGTCATTGGAGAAATAGAGCAAAAACAGAAAATATTTGGAATATTATGTCTAAAATGTCACATCACAATATGCACTCTTTGTTTACTGAACTGTTTTATAAAATCATCACATTTGCAATCGCGCCAATAATCTGGAAATATTTTTTTATATATGTTATAATTATGAAAATAACTCATACTAGGGCCATTTTTCCACCACATTTTGAATTTTGGGTGCATATTAATTCTGCTGGCATTTTTTGCCACCAACCCCCTGATAACATTAAGAGAAACATAAACGACAAAACTAACAGTTTTCTATATTGTTTTTCGTCATTGGAAAGAACAACATTTTTGGCTTTAAAGCATGATTTAAAAAGAAATGTTATACAAAACATATACCATCATTAAGTATCATTTGAATATTGACAACATTAAGCTACATTTGAAAACATAATTGTGTATAAAGAGGCATGCTGTTTTGACCAATATTATTCTCTCTAGATTTAAAGATAGTCAAATTAACTATAACAAACAGGTTAAACAAGCCATAGCTTAGGCCTACTTTTAGACGTGGTGAATGAAGTTCGACTGTTCGAGGTTGTGATGGTCGTCCGATATCCCTTGCCAGTTATTATGCGTACAACAAATCTTCTTGCATGAATATGGTCATTTTCTAGTGTTTATAACCAAAAAGATACGACGCAGGGAGATGTTTTTGTATTTAGTGCGCTCACCGCGATGTAGGCTATTTCTGGGCTTGTGCAGCGTCACGCAATCGCGCAGAATCTGATGACTGACGTCAATGGTTCCGTTGCTTTCATTTTGTTTATCAATGGATGTTGCAATGATTTATATAAAAATGTATATCAAGTCATTCTCGAGTCATACCGTTCAAGTCAAGTCAAGTCTCAAGTCATTGGATCTCAAGTCAAAGTCAAGTCGAGTCATTTTCTTCATTTAGTCAAGCAAGTCTCAAGTCCTTAAATTTGCGACTCGAGTCTGACTCGAGTCAAGTCATGTGACTCGAGTCCCCCATCTCTGAATTTTGGAGTTGAGAAACTAAATAGCAAATCTCCAAAATAGGCTTTCACTAAATTTGTTATTGACATTGGTACTCTGAAAAAATCAAATGCTGCCCAAAGAAGCTCATGTGGCACTGAACCATATGCATTAGCCAAATCCAGGAATGTCACGTGGAGCTCCTTCCTCTCCTTTTTAGCTGACTGAATTTGTTGCCAGATAACATTGATGTGTTTTAAGCATCCTGAGAACCCTGGAATGCCCGCTTTTTGAACTGAAGTGTCAACGAAGCCATTCTTTAATAGGTAGGTGGAAAATCTCTGAGCAATAATGCTGAAGAAAATCTTACCTTCAACGTTTTATAGTGAAATAGGACGAAACTGACTGATGCTGGTAGCATCTTTTTCTTTAGGTATAAAAACTCCACCTGCTCTGCACCATGCTCTAGGAGAGGCGTAATAGTTATGCTCTCTGTCCCACTTTGTAAAAGTGCAGATTTTTTTGTTTATAAAAGCCAGTAAAGACATTATGTTAATAAACCTTTATATTTTAACTGACAAAGGCAAATAGATGAAATGTTTGTACTTTTTTAATCTCCTGCTTGAACCTGATAAAAGTATGTTTAAAGTGCAGACCTTTTTGCATTTTCATATTTGAAATCGTTTAAAATAACCCTATTTTTTATTTTCTTTCTGCTCATCAAAAAATATCAGATGAAAAACACCTCCACACATTCCACATTTTTATTTTACATTTTTAAATATTCTAATAAAAAATGTTTCTTTAAAATCATAGGGATATTTCACAATATGTTTTTACTGTATTGTGGATCAAATAAATCCAGCAGAAAAGACTTCTTTCATAAACATTAAAAACCTTTGTTACGTACGCTATATGGAGGAATGCATGTTGTATGTGTGTGTGTGTGTGTGTGTGTGTGTGGTTAGGCTGTTTTGTGTGTTTCAGATTTCATTAGATCCACAGCCTGTCATTCTTCACCAGGGAAGATGATTATTAAATACTGATTATCACTGTTATTAGAGTCCTTGTATACTGTGTGTTAGATATTTGACTGAAACCTTCTTTGTTAGGATTATGGTTGTAAAGTGTATAGTTGCATTTGTACTGTTGTGTCTTCAAGCCGTCGCGTTGCGTGTGAGTACATTATGCATTGTAGGACGTCCTGTTGTTTTACACACAGTAAGTTTAGAAGAGAGTGCCCCCCTGATAAATATCATTATCATTAGTTTCACAAGGATTAAAAAAAGCCATGGGAATAGAAAGTATTACATTAACTTTTTAGAAATTTGGCACTGAAACCTTAATTACATAGATTATCATAAATTGCAGCCAATCAGCAAACAAGAAGCATTCATATTAATATTTCCAATCTAAAACAAGAACAAG